GGAGTAGCGACGGGACATGAGCGGGACTGCACTACACACGACGGATTGGTACTCATTACATGTGGTAGGGAGACTGGACGGACCATTAGTGTTAGTGATCATAGAACTCCAGCTCCATACCAGACTGTGCATAGTTGAGGAGGCAGAGTGTGTCCGCCGCGCGCTGCGTGAGGGTAGGGGAACAAGACTTTGGATTGGAATAGAAGGAGGACGGAGGTCGGTCTCGGATAAGGTCATGGTACGAGACGACCCGAGAGGCTGAGAGGTTGAAGATAAGCGAGGCCAGGAAAGCTGGAGAGTTAGGGAGAGTAGTAACAGATGGTGCAATACTCAGGGTGTTAGCTGCTCACAACCGGTACTGGAAGGAAGCGATGAAGACTTTAGAGGCGATAGACGAAGGGGGAGATAGTGAGGACTTTGATATATTTTATGACATATTGGAGCGGTCGGCAATGAGGCTACAGGTCGTTATAGCACTAACTTATCTCAGCTGTTAAGAGATGACCTCGTAACTGGTGAGGAGATAAGGTAGTGGAAAATAGAAATTGGGAGCTCTTGGAAGGATAGTGGAAGCTAGAAAGGTCGATAGGCGACATTGGGCGACAGTAGGAGGACCTTTAGCGGGCTAACCGATTCAGACTGGGCTAGGAGAACTAGCAAGGAGGACGGAGAGAGACGTTCAGGGATTCTTGAGAAGTGTTGATCAGGAAACATTGACTAGGTTTGGGATTGCAATCTGTCTCAAGGATAGAGGTCCTGTCACGGGCGTACTGTTGATCCGGACAGGCACGACCTTGTTGACCGATCCCGAAGGAGAGGTTTACTTGGACACAGGGATTCTTGGGATAGAGAGGGAGGACACGAGATCTGCGACCGGAACGGGACACTGGAAGTGGTAATCAAGGCAGTCAAGGGCTAAGATTGGAGGCGGACGTGAGTCGTGAGAAAGAAACAGGTCCGGGCTGCTGCGACTGTCACAGGTCCGGGATGTCGCGACTGATACAGGTCCGGGCCGCGACTGTCATAGGGTCGGGCTGTAACAGGTGGCTAGAAAACCTAACTGCATCTTCAGGTGATCCAATGGAACCCGACATGATGGGGCCACAACCAACGGTAGGCGAAGCGGGAGAGGAGTATAGGACATCGGCCGATCGAGCTCTGAGAGAACTGAAGGAACGAATTAGGCAAGAAACACCGTTGAGATGGGCTGACCAAACCAATGACGGAGGGCCCGACGTAAGAGGCGAATCAGTTGCAACAGAGCCGCAGGAGGCTCTAAAGACGGGTACCTCGAGCGGACGACGAGAAACGACGAGGCGGCGCTCCCCCGAGTACGAGCGGAGGGACACCATAGCGGACAGGTACTGAGACGACTGGAGAGAGAATTTGAGGGATTCCTATTGGAGGGACAAAGATAAAGACAGGGCTCCGCCCAGGCGAGTCTTCGACCCCCAGACAGGGGAGTCACATCCGCTCCCTTATGAGAGCAAGGACCGCTATATTA